CTAATACTCGAACCACAACAACATTGTTTCTCTTAATTAGCTGCCTTTGCAGGATTGCCACTGGCTTGGCTAAGAATTAACCATCTTCACCAGTGATAGGCAGAGTGGTCTGCACTACTACTCTATTACCCACCTTCCTCTTGAGTAAAGAAACATGGAACACAGGGTGGGCCTTGGATTCAGGAGGAAGGTCAAATTTGTAAGCCACCATACCCACTCTAGCCAGAACTTTATAGGGGCCATAATACTTAGAGCTCACCTTCAGGTTTTTTCTCAATGCAAGGGAGGTTTTTCTATAAGGTTGCAGTTTCAAATAGACCATGTCCCCTACTTGGAATTCCCTGTCGGATTTTCTCTTGTCAGCATAGTACTTCATCCTTTCTTGGGCCTTATTGAGGTTGTCTTTCAACAACTGTTGCATCTGTTGCCTTCTCAGTACTGTGTTTTTAGCAGCTGGTACCACTGTCTCCAATAAAGGTCCTAGGGGTAGCTGAGGGGGAGTGTAACCATACAAGGTCTCAAAGGGGGTGCATTGCAGGCTGGTGTGGAAGTTGGTGTTGTACCACCATTCTGCAGCAGTCAGCCATTGTTCCCGTTGTGTTGGTCTACTAGCAATCATGCACCTGAGATAGTTTTCTAAACATTTATTGACTCTTTCAGTTTGGCCATCACTTTGAGGGTGGTAAGCAGTGCTGTAGTGCAATTGAGTTCCTAAGAGCTAAAATAAGGACTGCCAAAAGTTGCTTAGGAATACTTTGTCTCTGTCAGTGACTATGGACTCAGGAGTGCCATGTAAGCAATGTATCCTTTTCCAAAACACATCAGCTACTGTTACTGCTGTATAAGGGTGGGCAAGGGCTATGAAGTGGGCATACTTGGTCATTCGATCAACTACTACAATGATCACTTCTTTGTTGTGGGACTTTGGTAAACCTTCTATGAAATCCATACAAATGTGACTCCAAGCTTGATTAGGAATGGGTAGAGGCTGCAATAATCCTGGATAGGACATGTTGTCATCTTTATTCTTAAGGCAAATATCACAGCTGGCCACATAGTCAATGACCATCTGTTTCATTCTAGGCCAATAGAACACCTGTGATAACCTTTTTAGGGTCCCCAGTTGTCCTGAATGTCCACCTACAGGAGAATCATGGAATGTGGAGATCAACTGAGTTCTGAGATCACCATTAGTACCAATGTAAATCTTTCCCTTCTTTCTGAGTATGCTGGAAGTGTAGTGCCAGATGTTGGGTCCTTGTAGAGTCACTGCTGCCCGACTAATCACTTCTGTAGCTGTAGGGTCTCCTTCATAACTGTGTGCTATTTCCTGCATCCAAGAAGGAACTGAGACACTGATTTCTTGCAATGTTCCTTGAGAGTGGCCTATGTGATATTCTGAATCTTTCTGTTGCCTAGATAGGGCATCAACTACCCTATTTTTAGCCCCTTTCTTGTATCGTACTTCATAGTCCAACCCAAGTAACTTGGTTAATCCCTTCTGTTGTATAGCTGAGGTGACTCTTTGCTCCAAGAGGTACTTCAAGCTGTGGTGGTCAGTTCTAACCACAAAATGCCTGTACTGCAAATAGTGCCTCCACTTGTCAACTGCATTCAACAAAGCCATATACTCCTTCTCATAGATTGACTTACCCCTGTGCTTTTTAGCTAGAACCCTGCTGAAGTAGGCTATGGGTCTACCTTCTTGCATAAGGACAGCTCCAATGCCACTGTGACTAGCATCTGTTTCCACTATGAACTCTTTAGTGTAGTTAGGTAAGGACAACACTGGTGTAGAAGTAATGGCCTTCTTGAGGGTTCTGAAGGCTAGATCAGCTTCAGCATTCCACTTAAAAACATCCATTTTAAGTAGATCAGTTAAGGGTCTGCAAACGACCCCATAGTTTGCAACATACTTCCTATAATATCCAGTCAACCCCAAGAATCCCCTAAGTGCCTTCACTGAGTTTGGTCTAGGCCAGTCGACCATTGCTTGTATCTTAGATGGGTCAGTAGACACTCCTTCTGCAGTAATGATATGCCCTAAGTACTCAACCTTAGACTGACCAAATGAGCATTTAGATTTTTTAGCAAATATGGAATGTTCCCTCAAGGTATCAAAGACAGCAATTAGATGAGTCACATGATCTTTTTCAGATAAGCTGTAAAGAAGGATGTCATCAAAGAAGACCAATACAAACTTTTGAAGGAAAGGTTGAAAAACCTGGTTCATCAAGGCTTGAAAGGTAGCTGGTGCATTTGTTAATCCAAATGGCATCACCTTGAACTCATAATGGCCTAGATGAGTCCTGAAAGCTGTCTTGTACACATCTTCTAACCTCATTCTGATCTGATGATAACTAGCTCTCAAGTATACCTTGGAGAAGATCACAGATCCACTTAGTTCATCTAAGAGGTCATCCACAATTAGTATAGGTTACTTATCCTTTTCTGTGCTGTCATTCAGCCCTCTATAATCCACACAAAACCTCCAAGTCCCATCCTTCTTTTTGACAAGCAATGCTGGTGATGAGAAGGGTGGTTGACTATGCTGAATTATGCCATTAGTGAGCATCTCCTTAACCCACCTCTCCAATTCATCCTTCTGGTAGTAGTTGTACCTATAAGGCCTCAGGCTGACTGGCATGGCCCCAGGTTTCAGGGGAATGGTGTGATCTAAGGTCCTCACAGGGGGTAAAGACTTTGGTTCTGCAAACACATCAGGGTACTGCTGCAACACCTCTTTAATAGCTTCTCCTACTGGCTCTTGATCTTCTGTTCCCAATGAGTTCATCATGAACATATGAGCTATCAGGGCCTGCCCTTTCTTTAACATTTTTCCCATTGTTCCACTGGGAATCATGTTTAACTTGCCCTCTTCAGAGATTCCTTGTAATACCAGTTTGTTGCCCTTCTTGCCAATGGTCACACACATCTTCTCATGATCAAACTTGGTGGGTTATGCTTCTTCATCCAATCATTGCCCATCACCATATCACAGACTCCAAGTGGAATGATTAGTAAGTTCTCCTGGAAGGGTTTGCCTTGCATTTTCCACTGATATCCTGTGCAAATGGAGGTGCACATAACATAATTCCCATCAGCCACTGTTACTCTAATGGTGGACAATGTCTAGCTTGGTAGCTTGTTTCCTTGATTGTAGTGACATCAATGAAACTATGCGTGCTGCCAGAATCAATTAGCACCGTTAGCTTCCTGTTCCCAATGGTACCTCTAACCAAAGTGGTGTTGACTCCTCTGTTGTCACCTGATAAGGCATTCATACATACAACTTCCATTACTTCCTGCTCCAGTTCTCCTTCAATAAACAAGTCTATATTTGGTTGTTCCCCTTCTATCTCCTGTCTCTCAAGAAGGTCTTCTACTGCTCCTACCATGCAATTCAGTTGCTTTTTCTTACACTGATGGCCTTGAGTGTATTTCTCACCACACTTGTAACATAAGTGGTTGTTCTTCCTGTATTCATAAACTTCTCGACTAAGCCTGAAGGAGTTTGGCTTAACTATACCTGCAGTTTGTACTCGTGTGCCAGCAGGATTGCTAACCACCAAAGAAGGCTTGGATATGGCTTTAGTCCTTTTGTGGGCAGCTTCTATGGCCTTCTCCTGCAGTCTAGCTCGCTCCACAACAAACCTCATAGTTGTAGGTTTAAACAACTTCACTCCAAACCTAATCTCTTCCTTAAGAGCTCCAATGAAACTGGAGATGAAATGTGATTCATCCAAGTGTGGGTTCCTTATCAACATTTGAGCCTTCAAGTCTTCAAACTTGCCCAGAAATTCATCAACTAATCCTACTTGACTCAACTTGTTAAACTACTCTACTATGTCTCCCATTAGTTCCTCCCCAAATCGAATAAGCAATTCCTCCTTGAATTCAGTCCAGCTCACTTCACCTCTACTTAGCACTAAGGAATCGTACCAAGTATCAGCTAACCCATTCAGATAGAGTGTAGCAGCTTCCACTTTCAGATTGTCTGGGATCTTATACAAATTGAAGTACCTTTCACACTTTTGAATCCACACCTTAGGTTCATGACCTTCAAAGTAAGGCAGCTCCCACTTAAGAGTAGGGGTCTGCACAGCTTGAGGCCTATTCTGCCTCAATTCCTGACCTGGTATTGGCAACAGTCCATCTCCTTGAGGTCTATCAACTTGAGCCCTTCGGGGAATTCTTTCCAAATTTGTTAACCTCTCTAGGATTAACTCTAAGGTACCCTGTATCCCAGTTTGAGTATTGTAACTCCTCTTGGGAGGTCAGAACTTCGTTCAAAATTTCATCGTGCTTCACCAGCTTATCATCCATAACTTTCAGCCTCGTTTCTTCAACCATTACCACCTTCACAGTCGCAGAATCGAGGCTCTGATACCAATTGTAATGAACTCAATTTGAATTAAGGAATTAAACTACAATAATGGAAATATAATGATTTTTGGGGCAATTTTTTGTTATATTGATAAAGGAAAACTAACGATTACAACTGAAAGGAAATTGACTACTCTTAACTAGACTCCATAGCTGCAGATACCTGAAGGAAGAAGAGAAGAAGAAGATCTGTTAGGAAGAAGAAGAAGAGAGTGAAAAGAGAAAACTCAATTTGAATTAAGGAATTAAACTACAATAATGAAAATAGAATGATGTTTGGGACAATTTTCTGTTATATTGATAAAGGAAAACTAACGATTATAACTGAAAGGAAATTGACTACTCTTAACTAGACTCAATAGCGGCAGATACCTAAAGGAAGAAGAGAAGAATAAGATCCGTTAGGAAGAAGAAGAGAGTGAAAAGAGAGAAGAGAGAATCGAAGAGAGAGAAAGGAGATTACACTGATGAACGATGCCTTCTCTTTCTGCTGAAGGTGGTTATAACAACCTTCTAGCTGACGTGGCTAAATCTGGACCCTTGAAGCTTATTAATTTTAAAACTAATCTCTGCCGTTCATTTAAATTTCAGTTAACTCCCTTCCTAGTTTCTGTTACAGGTGAGCTTCAGCTCCCACTTTGAACCCAGCTAGCAGCAGTAATATTTATGGACTTCACTGGATCATTACAGATTTTGACAGTTAACAAATTTGAAAGGGAAGTTCGAAAACATCCATCAAAGCTTCGACGCAGCTGGGTTTATCTTAGATTCAATTTCGTTGGAGAATCGAGTTCAAAATCGATTGGGTGTTTGTGATTCTTGTTGGAAACATCATTTTGAAGCTGAATATGAAGGATTAGTTCGATTGATTCTGAATTCTAGGGTTTTTGGTTCGAAATTTCGAACCGATTTTGCGAGGAAGAAGGCTAATTGGGCCTTTCGATTTGGGTGATTGTTTGTAGAAATTAACTACTGGGGATTGTTCTTAGAGTGGTTTGGAGGCATAATCCAAAGTTTTGTTGCACCTGGTAAAGGATTGAACGAGAATCGAATTCTCTACCGTTGAAGAACTCGAAGAACACTAGCTGCGAATTGGAAGAATTTCGCGGACTGATTCGAATCGATTCGAGCAGCTGAATTCGTCGCAATGAATCAGGTTTGATTCCTTGAGTTTTAAACTGTTCTCCATCTCTGATTTCTGAAAATTTGAAGAGAATTTGAGTTTCAACTGAACGTCGACTCCATCTTTCTGAGTTAGTTGGTTCGAATCATTCAAGTCGACTCGTGCTGTTTATTGCTTGAATTAACTGATTGATGCTATCCATTAAGTGCTTGAGTGTTTGAATCGAAGACTAAAATTTATTTTTCGTTCTTGTTGCTGTTGAATTTTGATCGAGAACTTGTCGTCAAGTTTTTGAGTTGAATTTGATAGTGTGTACTACTGCACCGAATACTAGTTATTGATAGTTTGAATTGAATCGGATGAATAGCTACTGTTGATTGAAAGATTGAACACATATGGTTATGAAATTTTAAGCTGCTTCTATTAGCTCTAAACTGATTTGGAACTCATAATCTGTGCGAGCTTGTAATCCCATTGAAGGTTGTCGATTGAGCATAGACTAAGGATACTGCTTAAAGGGATTTGAGATGGTGTTTACTACCCAGATTTTTGGTTTTAAGTTTGTTAAGAACTGAAACTTGAGCTTGCTTTTCTTAGATTGAGAACTAAGTTCTTCTTGAACTTGGGAGATTGCATTGAGAAAATTGCTTGGTTGGATTTCTGTTAGTTTAAATATTGAGCAGCACAACTGAACCTGCACTTTAACTGAGAAAACAGTTGGTGAATGACCAGAAAATACAGAGAGCAAATTGGTCTCAAGTTTTTCTGCCCAGTCTCGATTCAAAACAGTTGCACAGAGTAAAATTCTACAGCTGTGCTTGATTAGTTTTGGACAGCTTTTGAGGGTTAAATTCTGAAAGTTTGAGGAGAATTTTTGTTAAGTTGTGGGTCTCTTTGGGCTGAAATTCATCTAGGTTTTTCAGCAGTTAACAGAGAATAGAATTGCACCAGTTTGAGCAGGTTTTGATAGCAAACTTGCACCAATTTTTTGCCAGAATTTCCCGGTTGTCTTGACTGAAGGTTCCGCCCTGTTTCTGCAGTTTGGATCTGTCCAGTGTTGAGAGAACCTGCACAAGTTTGAACCTGCAAGAAGTTTAGTCTCATATCTGCTGATCTCTTGCACTTTTCGAGCACAATTTCTGCACTTTTGACGAATAATCCGGCACTGTTTTAGCTGTCTTTTTGAAGGGATTTTGAGCAGAAATTCTGGTTCTAGCAGGGGGGGGGGGGGGTTCAAAATGGCTACTGAATTGGGCAGTTTGTGTCTGAGATTCTTTGTCTGAAAACTTGCAAGTTCTAATAGAGTTGATAGCTTCAGTTTGCAGCCTTGATAGTTGGTGACTCTACTGCAATTTGATGGATTTCCTTTCTGCAAACTGATCAGTTGTTGCATAGAAATTCTGCATTTTTCTGTCATGTTTGAGCTACAGTTGGAGGAGTAGATTTCTGCATTTGTTGACAGCAAAATGGCATCAGTTGCAGCAATGTTTAACAGCAGGATTGCAGCAACTAACAAATGCAATTTAGGCTGTTTCTGAACAGTTTTCAGTAGTACAAGTTTGGACAACTGATTTTACACTTTTGAGCATTTTTCTGCACAGATTTTAGAATTTTGCTGCAAATTTTCCTCTGAGTGTGTTAGCTGTTACTGACTTTGGAGTTGAGAAATTCCATAAGACTTCAGCTTAATTTCTGCTGGTTCAACTGCAATTTTCTGGACTGAAGCTGATGGACTGAAGTTGGATTGCCACTAGAATTGGAAGTTAAAGTTTGCAAATCTGTCTAGGTTTACGGATGTGGCAAATCTTTGCAAAACTGACCAGTTTTTACAGAAATATCCAGTTTTTGCGAATACACATTGAGTTTATTTCTAGTTTCTTTGTGTGCTTTGTTTTATTTTGTGCCATTTCTTTCGTGCTTTTCTCTTTATTTTCGTTGTGAATTGCTTGGTTCAAGTCCGTTTGCTTTTAATTGCCCGTCCTTGTGAATACACAACTTCCACTCCACCCCGAAGACGGTTGGAACTTGTTGTGAAACCTTGGAACTTAAGTTTGCTAGCAATTTTGACATTCACTACTTGAGCGAAAAAAGGCAAGAGTGAATAGTACTTTGAGTACGCAAAAGCCAATTGGTGCAAGGTGTGATACACAAGGGTTGAGCGTCAACAAGTGAGTTGGTGAGGACTTTTACTAACTACCTTGTTTGCTCGTTTTGTAGGTATCATGGAGTACGGACAAACTTCTAGTCTTAATTGTGATCCAAGGAGTAAGACTCCGATGCATGAAGTTGTCTCTATGCTTTATGACATAAGGGAGAAGATTACCAATTTTACCATATGGAAACACAAAACGAATGCAAGGTTGAATTCCATATTGGGGGAATCTCACTTGAAGCAACAAGGAAAGATGCTTACTAATTCCTCTACAACACTATCTGATTCACAAGTACGACAAATGCTTCAAAGAGGAAAACCGGAACATATCCAAATACCACAAAACCTACCAAAACGACCACAATCAGCAAAGGGACCTTATTTTCCTCCACCAAACTACCGACCACCTACCTACTACCAACACCAACTACAACCCTCAATCACACATCAACCACCACAAGTACCTCAACTACAAACTTATCGAACTTCACCACTATCTAGACCACAAGTAACTTGTCAAGAGCCTCGGATGATGAACAACCCACTTTTTCAACATGATCATGAGACCACATTGAATGAGTTGGACACCATCCACCACGTTTTCAATGACGAATATAGGGGGGATGAAATAAACCAAAGGGTAGAGGCCAAATGAGTTTGAGAACATCTTTGAAAAATGGAAAGAGACAAAGTAAGGATGAGAGACAAAAGAAAGAGAGAAGTGAGGGAGAGAAAAATGACAAACTGTAGAGTGGAAAAAGGAGAGAAAGTGTGGAGTGAAGTGTGTGAGTTGTCACAAGGAAAGAGTGAAGAGCTTGAAAAGAAAAAGAGAGAAAAGAAAAAGGGAAAACAAAAAGAGCGTGAGGACTTTTCTTATTCTAATGCTGATCTTTCTTCTTTCTCTAGTTGTTTTGTAACTTGTGTTGAGACTTTTGGAGATGATCCATCAAGTGAAGTTCAATCTACTTTGATGAACTTGGAAGAAGATCAAGCTACCTTTTCAAGAGAACTTTTGAAAGTTAATGAACAAGTTCAAGGTAAAGAGAATTTCAGTTTAGAAGAGCTTCAAGGTAAAATAGCTTATCCTTCTACTCGTGATACTTTAGCTGATTGTGGTGACACTTTTGAGTTTGAAATATAGCTATGGCATTGATGAGTTTGATACCTCTTTATCTTGTAATGAAAAAAACAGTTATGTCTTGCAACTAGCTAGGAGTTATTGTGCATTATTAGATGATTCTAGTTCGTTGTTAAATGACTCCTTAGCTAGTGATGTGTGTGATGTTGAATCTTATGATACCCCACCTTTATGGGATGATGCATGTGATGATTCTTTTGACTCTACTTTAACTTTGTTGGAAGAAAGTTTTGACCTTTATGAAGAAATGAGTCAAGAAGAATGTGTTGATGATTCTTTTGATTCTATTTTCATTCCTTTGGCAAAAAGATTCAATTTTTATGGTGAAATGAGCAAATGTGAGTGTGAAGATGCCTTGTTGGAGAGTGAACAAGTTACTTATAATGACATAAATATAAAAGAAGAAAACTTCTATTTGTATTTCAATGAGTTGACTTTTCATGTATTTGATCTTGATGACTCTTACGCATATTTATGTGATGAATTTGTTGAGCATGAAAAGGAAAGTAAAGTTTTTGATGCTAGCACCAGTATTAATTGCTTTACTTATCTTATTCCTACTTTTGAAAGAATATTCTCATTGGATTTTGCTAATGCTTCTATCAGAAAAGGTAGGAATATTTTTTGTGGTGTTTTGAGTGACCATTTTGAGCAAAAGAACCTAACTGTATTGATTGTTTTGTGAAGGTTCAACAAGAGAAAGTTGCTAAAGGTAAGAAAGGCCTTGAACTAACCACTTTGGCATACTTTTTGTCACGAGCTTTTTCTTTTCCCCAAAAGCAAGAATGGTATGTATGTATGTTTGGCTTATGCCTGTCTTGTGTTTATCTAAGGCTATTGAGGTAAAGACTCTTAACCTTGAATATTGTGATATTCTTTATATGATGATTCATGATGAGCTTGGCATTTCTCTTAAGTTGTCATATGAAGTTGTTGGAAAGTGTGTAGATATTTGCGGATTAAAATTTATGTTTGACCCCGGAGTTGCTTCTTATCATGGTGAAGTATCTTTCTTTGGGTTGGAGAGCATGATTTTTATTGCTTCTTATGACACTTGGTTATATCATAAAAGTGTACACTTTGTTGAGGATTTGACAAGATTGTGGTTTCGTTGGAAGCATGAAACTTTACACTCTCTTGATTCTTCTCATGAGTATCATTTTTCTTATAGTCAAGTTTGTGTCATTTGTGTTGGAGATGTATTCTTTATAAATTACGACACTTGGCTATATCATAAGAGTGTCACTTTTGAGTACAAGATTGTGATCTTTGTTCTTTTAGCTTGGACATACAATGCTTTGATTGTGATTGGTTTGGTACTTATGTTTGCCCCTTTCTTGGTTTTGCAAGGTCCAAATTCGAGGACGAATTTCTTTCAAGGGGGAGGATGATACATGCTGGATGAGCATGCCTAACAACTTTCAAGTCAACATTATAGCATGGGAGTACTTTAAAGGAGTCAAGATCAAGAAGGTTATACTTGTAATAATTGACTAAGCTCCTTAGTATTAGCTTAAGGGTATTTGGGTCTTTTGTAGCCAAATACCCACTCTAGTATAAATAGCCCTTAAAGATTTTATTTTAGGTAGACTTGATGAATGATAAACTTGAAAACATGCAAGTCTCACCCTTTATCATTATCTTTTAATTAATGCATTTATGTTTATGCCTTTAATTTCTTTATTGCTTTCATTAGTGCTAAATTAGTCTTAGTTGGTGAGCAATTAGTAGTGTATGCTTAATTGCTTAATTACTTTATCCAGGTTTTCAAGAGTTGCCAATCTCTTGAGGGTTTCATAGCTTAGAGTTGCAATTGATTTAGTTCATAGAGGTAATTAGGCTTCATATCCTAATTGGTTCTTGTTCTTTCAGTCAATTGTAGGTCTAGCTCTTATGTTCATATCTTAGGGTTACAATTGATTGAGTTCATAGAGGTAATTAGGCTTCATATCCTAATTGGTTCTTGTTCTTCCAATCAATTGTAGGTCTAGCTCTGATTGTTGATTCCGCGTATTTTGCTATATCCGTGTTTTCGTTCATAGTTCGTATCAATAGCCCATAATTCCGTTGTAAGGCTTGATGTTGCTTTCATACTAAGCCTGCCGTACAATCCACCTATCTACCTTCCTTTGTCGTCTCGTGCAAGACCTCCACATCCCGCTGATCCTAAACTACCATCCGTGTTAATCCTAATAAACCCTGAAGGAGGGAAAGACCAACTGATAGGTGCACTGCTTTGTTTGATTGTTGACTGAACATAGCAACCCGAGCTGGTTACTAAAAGTGTGATGTTAAAACAAATGGAATGAAGACTATAAATAATAGTAATAAGGTTCTGCCAAATCCTAAATGGATTGGGATTATAATATTTAGGAAAGCAACACAATTGATCTCTCAGAAAATCACACTTTGTCAGGTCCTTTCGATCTTACAAATGATCATACTTCTGCACTATTTAACTTTTTTAATTTCAAGTTCAATTTGAACTTCAATCCTTCGGCATTATTTAACTTTTTTAATTTTAAGTTCACATTATTTTTTACATATATAAAAATGGACTATTAATTTTGAAAAACTTTTAATTTTATATTAGTATTTTTTTGGAATGTATATTTTGGGTGACGAATTTTAGACCAAGCCGTCTTTTGAAAATCAAACACAATCCGTAAGGGAGTTGAATCTTCTCAACTTCTGCTTTTAATCAATTCTTAACAGGAAAAATACAATTGATCGATCTAAGCCTTTTTCCTATAAAATAGTAAGGGGAATAATTATAAAAAACAGAGAAAATAAGTGCAATCACCTTTGAGTGTCTATGAAATAATTTACCAGTTATGTGGGGCAATTCGTAAAACAATTGCTAAATTTATCATTTCTTTCTCTCTCTTTTTTTAATAGAAGAAAATGGTAATCAATGATAGAAAAATAGTTTTAGAGTTATGACTAAAGACGTTACATTAAAATGTGGTCTTGTGGTGCAGAAATTTGGCAAACTACTGCTTCCCTTAAATCAATTGTCACATTTACTAAAAATAGCCATTTCAAAATACTTGTTATTTTAGAAACAAGAAATAATTAGTATAGTTCTTTTCACATTTATCCTTACTCTAATATATATCGGGAGACATTAATGTGGTGAAAAAAAATTAGTAGTATTAAATTGAGATCGAAAAATAAATAAAGGTAATCTTATTAAATTATCTGTTTAATTACTCCATCTGTCTCAAATTATCTGTCGTATTTCTCTTTTACCTGCCTCTTGAGAAAACATTAATTAGAAGGGGTTTTAGAATATTTTGCCCTTATTTATATCTTTAAGATATAATCTCTTCATTGAATATTTACTTTATTTTGTGCTATCTTCATCTTCAATAATAATTACTACTAATAGGAAAAAGAAAAAATAATTAATTTTATCACGAACTTCTAAAATGACAAATCATTTAAGACTGTTATGAAATATTATAATTATATTAATGGATGTCTATAACTCCTAAAGAAGTTACTCCACTACTCTTCTTCATTATGTAGATAATTCCCACTACTTCTCACCATTATAGTTGTAACTCCCACACCTCCATAACCTCCCGATGATCTTCCTCCATGATCTCAAATGTTTAATATCATATTTATGGCATTCTTTTGTATACCTCTATGTAATCCTATAAATAGAGGGTTTTGGCATTACATCGTACATACTTGACACACTTGAATAAATTAAAGAAATAAGAATCTCTCATCTCTTGCTCCCTACATTCTTATCTATTTTCTTGTTTTATAATATTACTTTGAGCTAAATTTTTTAACAAAGACAACTATTTTTAAAAATCATAACAAATACTAATTTGAGAGGGAGGAAGTACTATTTTCTTCGACGGCCCAAGCATCAAAATTCTTCTCCAAGAAAATCACATTTTGTCAGGTCCGTTCGATCTCACAAATGATCATGCTTTGATGAGTCAATCAATCACTGTTAACTGAACATTCTTTGCCTAGCGTCAAGAATAATAAATGAACAGCACTAAATGATTACACTAAGAAAATAAGTTTTTAAGGAATCGAAGCTAATCATCAAATTAGAAAGCTTACATATAAAAATTTAGGGAGGAATACATGATAACCTTGCTAGTATATTTCATTTAAACACTCAAATTAAGGTCTCTTCTTATTAAGCATAATAAAGTATTCCTAGTCGACACTAGAATGTTTTCTTTTTTGAGGAGATTTTGGGAAAATGACGCTTGATTTAATTTCTTGTTTTAATGGAGCATGTTTTTTATTTAACGGAGTGGGTCTTGTTTTTAATTATTTTGGTTCTTTAGGATCTCGTTTTATTTTGTTATAACAAAAGTTTATAGGCCAAAGCCCCTTAAAGTTGTCCATCCTTTTCGCTTAAACACTCAATCTTAAGTCTGTTCCATTTGAACACTTTAACGGGGCATTTACTGTGTCATTTAGACACAAAATGCTGACATGGCAAGGTGAGTGTTTCTCACATTTTTCAAGCGCGTAAAAATGGTCCGAAAGACAAACCTTTCATACTTCTTGCCGGAAAATAATAGCTTTTGCCAGAAATTTCCTGTAAATATTTCTTTTAAATTTTTAGATATATCACACCATTACTATCATTTCCTCCTCCAAATCTAAGCACACTACCACCATCGCCACCTTTAAGTTTGGCTACCACCGTAAATTTTTTATTTTTGTTTCTTGTTTTTAAGATCCAATCAAAAATACCTTGAGATCTGAAAGTTTCGTAGGGAGTCCAAATGGGTCGCAGTATGTCGGTATCAATTACTCCGGCGAGGCTGTCACGCCCCGAACCTGGGCCTGGGCGTAACACGGCACTCGGTGCCTAACTACATGTGACCGAGCGAACCAACTGGCTGGCTGAATCAACATGTGATATCATAACATACTGAATGCGGAAGATAAACTAACCCATGCTGATATACTGAAAGTCTGGATGATATAAATCAAAGTGCGGAAATACTAAAACAAATCTAAAACATATATGTAGCCAACATTGCTTAACATGAAAAGCCTGAGACTCTGTCTAACTGTTACTCTAGTCTATGAAGCCTCTAATGAAGTACTGAAAACACTGACTACATGTAAATACTAAAAGACCGTAAAGTAATGATAATGCCCCGAAAGAACCGGGGATCACCAAACAGCTGGTACGAGAATCCTAGCGCTCTGAATCATTAACCTGTAAATCATTACCTGCATTGTGAGATGCAGGCCCCGGGCAAAAGGGACGTCAGTACATTTGAATTGTACTGGTATGTAAAGCAACTGAAAGAAAGAATTATAAATGCTGAAACTGAAACTAAGCTGATAACTGAAATGATAACTATTGAAACTGAAACTGAAGTGAGAATTGGTAACTGAACTGACAACTGAAAAGATACTGATAACTGATAACTGAACTGATAACTGAAAAGATAACTGATAACTGAACTTAATAAAGGAAGTAAGGATATGAATACTCCCTCTTCTGAATGATGAACAACCTGTTTATCTGAATAAGCTACGGCCTTGGGCCCAATATATATGTGCACAAGCTACGGCCTCAGGCCCAAGTATACGTATACATAACTACGGCCTCAGGCCCAAAAATGCATAAAGCATAAACTACGGCCTCATGCCCAAACATGCATAAATCATAAACTACGGCCTTAGGCCCAAGTATGCATAAAGCATATAAACTACGGCCTCAGGCCCAAATACAGGTGTTCAAGATTCAGGAACTAAGAATCATACTGAAATACATGATAGTGAAATACTGAATCATACTGAGTTATATGATACTGGCATACTAGATCACACTGAGTTACATGATACTGGAATACTGAATAGGACTAGGCCGAGACATGTATTCTTGAACTGATTATGAACAGTGAAACTTCAACTGTTTATGGCATACTGAGTAATCTATACTAAGACTCGGGGGCATCAAACCCAAGTCTATATTGAATACGCACTGAGCTCACAACGTTCAGAATGAATGTGGTGAACGAGTTATGAAGCTAGAGAATAGAAGTTCTACAACTATTCAAGAAACTAGGCTTAACTATATTTCTGAGGCAATTGGTAACGTCGTAAAAGAAACGTAGTGTAGGGAGAATCATTAATTTTATATTGCATTATGCTCCTAATTTTAAAAAATCATGCCCAAATCAGACATTGCAGTAACTCTAGGCTCTACAAAATAGTACTAACCTAAGTCACTCTATCTTTGCAAACAGACAAATTTAAGTAAGAAAAAATTGAAGAACTTTACTTACAGTTGTAGGAGAAACCGTCGAAGGAGAAGCAAAGAATCCCGCAAACTGTTCAGGTATTGTCCCTTCTTTCATTATCATACATGCCTTCAACGCATTCATCATTTGATTATGGTTCTGTTGACATTGGGACGAACATGAACCTTCACTACTTGAAGCACTTGTACCACCAAAGAGAGGTCTTTGATTATAACGTGTTGGTATCGGGCCCTTATTTTGGTTCCGGGATCCGGTACAGGTCTTATATATGCTTTAAGTCATTTCTGTGAAATTTGGTTGAAAACGGACGTCGTTTGACGTGATTTGGACCTAAATTGAAAAATTTGATGTTTTATGAAGTTTGAAAGAATTCTTGGATTTTGAGGTTTGATTCGTTGTTATTG